CTAGTCACTCCCTTGATTATTGCATTGAATATTTCCTTTCCTTTATCTCCTAGCATTCCTAATGATCTGATCCACCTTCCTCCATTCTGTTAGCCTACTACCACAACCACCCCTGCGTCCAAAGTAACCATTACCTTCTACCTTATTGTGCAATTGGTTTTTTGAAAGGTTTATATTTTATTTTCCTCTTCCTTAATATCTTAGGTACCATTAATGATGGCAAGAGCAAGGAAGCTTGTAGTCTGTTCACCCCCATATTGCAGGTGGCTAGAACCACGAATGACACATACTCAACCTTAACATGTGTTAAATAAGTAGTAAGTGGGTGACCTGTTAGGTAATCACAACATCACCCATGTTATTTTTGAGATTTTACAGTCTGAGAATGAATCAGGGGCCTCCTTGGCCAAGTTAGCAAAGGGATCTCAGCCACTTCTCATGCATTGCATGTTTTGAGATAACATTGACAAGTAAGTCATTTGTCACTGCAATTAGGGCAGAGGTTGACCAATTGAAAGCAGGACCTGATTTCCCCTAACTGTTCATGGGCTCTGCCTTTGCCTCCATGTCACTCTGTGCAAGCTTTATACCTGTTTGATGACAAACTGTGTACGCCTAGAATCTACCTATCACCCAAAACCCTGTTCTCTAAGTCCTGGCTTGCTCCAAAGTTATTCTATATAGTCTTTGCTGAGTTGATATTCTGCCTTGCTCAAGTGCCTGCACACAGATTTTCAAAGAAATTCCATTATCTCTTTTATGTTGCATTGTTTCATGGCTTGCAAGCCCTGGAGTAACCTGTGTACAGGTCTCAGTGCATCTTCATACCAATAACCCCTCTTCATCTCCTCACTACTTCAAAATCACCCCCTTCAAAATGCCAGAATTCTAGGTTTTTGTCAAAGGAAGAAGTCAGAAAGATCTTGACTGCTACCTACTTCATAAGATCCAATGGGAGCCCTAGCAGAATCCACATTCCTCTTTTGCCATGGCCATGGGTCTGATCTGTACCTGGTTACTGAGGCCACATCTGCAACAAAGGTCCCGAGTTTCCAAGCCTGTCTTTTTCCCATAAGCACATGCTCACTGCTTGCTGTAGGTGTCTTATCCAGGTAATCTGCTCAAAGAAGAAGATCTACCAACCCATTTTACCTTCTGGATCAGCACCAGCATCTGTGAACCATATTTCAGGTCCAGAAATGTTTCTGTTTGCTTAGTCCACCATAGGAAAGTCAGGAACTAGGGTTTGAGGACTAATGGTGTATGCAGGATGGCAAAGCATTGTGTTATGATGGCAAGACATACTTGGAAGAAAATTCTCATTCCATACATACAATCCCTCAAGGATGCCTGTCAATGAATGGGACCACAAAAAATCAGAACATGAGATGTCACCAATAATCTCCAAAGTACACATTAACCTTTATTTTCTACATTTCCTCACTCAGCCTCAGCATGTTCCTTCTCACTGTTACCCTGTGTTGTGGTGGAGTTTGAACACAGAAGGTTGGGTGGAGCCCCATGTGTCTTAGTGATGGTATTCATCCTTGTGGCATAGCAATGTGGGCTTCAGACTTGGCTAAGTCTGGGTTCATGTGCAAAACTGCCACTGACCAGCCACATGACCATAGTATCTTGCTTATGAGATCTGATTGAGTTTCCAGCTCTGTAAACTGGCATTAACCTTGCAGGGCTTGCAAACATTAAAGACAATACATGAAAATAGCTGGTAGCATTAACCTTGCAGGGCTTGCAAACATTAAAGACAATGCATGAAAATAGCTATCAAAGTGCCTGGCATAATTTAGGCATCAGTTAATGTCAGCTGCTACACTTGCTGTGCCTTGGGTAGTTTGGGGCTCTCTATACCTGAATTCCCTAAAAGATTGATTGGAGTGTTCTAGGAGCCAGAAACTCAATCCAGCTTCAAGGACATCCTTGCAACTAAAACTACAGCTTTTCCATTCATCTTGTGGAGCCTCTGTGGAGATGAGGTCAGCTTAGGTTTCAGATTTGCACAAGAAGCTCTCAACATAATATCCCATCGAGGCAGAGCTCAAAGCTCAAAGAAGTTATATAAATGCCACAAATAATATTCTCTGTTGCTGAACACCACCCAGAATCCCCCTTTTCTGCCTCTTCTTCAGCTCTGTCATTCATTTCAAAGCCACAGAAATCCTACACTTGCTCAGCTCTTACCTAATCAAGTGAAAATTACTTCTGCAGTACTATAGTACTGTGTTTTGGGGAAGGGCAGGGGGAGGAACTTGCCAGTTCCCTCGGGAGCCTCCTGCCTGACGCCTTTGGGATTCCAGCAGTTATCTCCTACAGTTAAGTGTAAGATGTTCCCAGTCTTTCTCCCCTTATACTGGGAACTACTGGTTCTCTGAATGAATTAGGCTTATTGTCCTACATTTGCGTATAACCATGTTAGGTAATTAAATGCTTGCTCCCCACCAGAATCAAAGATGGATTCTAACAGGTTTGGGAAGGACATCTTGTTCCCTGAGCTCCAGAGAGAGCTTCCTGTAAAATGAGCAGTGATCACACTGACGTGACAGAGTAATAAGTAATTTGCCTCTGGTACAGACAAAGTGCTTAACAAATCTTTGCTCTGCTGGCTGCCCCACTCACTAGCTGAATGACCTGGAGCCCACTGACTTCCCAGAGCCTCTTATGTAAAAGGGGAAGTTAAAGTCAGTCTATTTGCTAGAAGGATTGGAGGCTGCAGTTGGCAGTCAGGGTTACTGACATCCCTCTCACTGACTTCATGTGTTTTTTTTTTTTTTTCTTAAGACAGAGACCCTGTGAGTACAGTGGCAGACAGAAACAGACAGCAGGCAGTCTACAGAGAACACTTTGGATTGGCAGAGAATGCACATGGAATCTTGTCTAAGATATGATACTTGCTACTTCTGTGACTCCAGGCAGTAAAGTTACCTGGTAATCTCAGCCTCAGATTCCCAACTCACCCACCTCTGGAATTGATGTTACCTCCAAGATAAGAAACATGCCTTTTCTTTTCTGCAGCTTCAGTTTCTATCACACTGCTTGAATCCTAGAGGGCTCTTGCTATTTTCTTTCTTGCTGAATGAATTCTGTTGGAACTGCTGAGGAGTCATAGTTGCTACTTTTGTGTGAAGCCTCCTTGGTCCCTATGATGGGTCCCTGGGCCTTTGCCAGAAACCCATTAGTTAGCCTGCCCAGAACCCAGAGATTTTAGTTCACACATAGCTGGAAGTAGGTGAAGGCTGGAGATAAAGAAGGAGGAATACAACCTAGTACTCTTTGTATATGAGAGCTGTTATCCTGAGCCCCACAAGGTTAGGCATCTGTCCTTTGCAGTCCCTATTAGGAGACTTCAGCTCTCCTATAGACAAACATAGTAGACTTCGGGGGTGGCCAAAACTTCTTATGCAGGTTCTCTGCCTGTGGCTGATGAGACTGTCAGGGATGACTCCCACACCTCCAGATTTCCTGCAGGGTGAAGTAGAGGATTCAGAAGTCTCTGATGACTGAATGGATGAGAAGGCAGAGAGTTCCTTGCTATCATGAGGTGAAAAAGTGTGAGAGTTCCTGGGAGTGGGAAGAATCCTGGCCCCTCATGACTTCCTACACCACAGGCCACCATGCTAGGGGTACCTCTAGATTTGCCACACTGGGTAAAGAAGAGACTGAAAATGCTAATGATACCCCACTCCCCTGGAGACAGACAAGCGCACACACATACACTCATACAATATGTGCAACATCACAAATTGTAGTTCCTGACAAAAGTGTAAAGTTATCTTTTCAGAGAGGCCACAGGTGGCATATTCTGTTTGGCCTGCCAAATATCTAAGTTCTGCCTTTTTCAAGCCTTCTTCCTCCCCTCAACATTCCAGGATTAACATCTTCAAACTCGGTCGGTTGTAGAACCCAACCTTGGAGGCTCACCTTGTCTTCTGCCTAATGTCTTGTTCTCTACTTTCCCCCTTGAGGAAACATTAACAATTTAGTGGGGAATTTATTATTTCTCAAATGTCCATGCTGCCTTTCATGACTCCATATTTACACCTCTCCCAACTCTAATTTCCACACCACTCCATGATGTCCCTCTTCGTTTATACCCCTCATTCAAGCTGGGTATCTAGGAGAATACCTCATTCAGAATATTTTTATTTTTCAGAATATTTTTATAGCACTCTGATGCCTCTTTCAATTCTTTTCAAGCTTATTTAAGCATCTCTAATTTATACAGCACCTATGATATCACCTTTCCTGCCCAAGCCCTAAGACTACGTACATAAGATTTCCTATGTACGTAGAAAATTTATAAAGCACCTCATACTCAGTCCTTATCACAGTATTTACAGCACCACCAGTTTACATATTTTTCTTTCGCAGAAAATCTAGGACATTCTTTGTAAATAGTGGCTCTGTGCTAAGTAGTATCACAAAGAAGATAATCTGGTTCCTCACATAACAGGTGGCCAATGAATGAACAAGATAAACTAGTCATTATGCTTTTATTTTTTCTATGTCTACAGTAACTAAGCCATTCCATGGTAAATGTCAGTCTTTTTAATACAACAGAAACAAAGGGTTTCACAAAGGTTAGATATGAACAAAATTCCCCCCATCTCACATTTTACTGATTATTTCAAACTTCCAAATGATGGACTATACCAACGATAAAAAATCTATACCAGATCATAGAATACAATCAGACGATTTCATTTTATACTGGTAGTACAACTGTTGTACTAAGTATCAATGCCAAAAAAAGAAAAATCTTCAATTATATATTGAAATATATTGTAATACATAATCATCAATATTATAAAATGAATACAATTTTATAATAGTCAAAGGAAATGCTATTTGTAAACAATTAGCACTGATGACAAATACCAAATACAGTGTCCCTCCCCCCACCGTATCATCCTAAACTCAGGATCCAGGCCCTCTACTCCTTGGGGTACCTTTAACTCTCTTCTTCCCCACCCATGGGTCTGCTTCACATTTTTCTAGGGGGTAGAGTAACCTCTGGCACCTGAATTGAGAATAGCCTCAACTTCTGCATCATCGTCAGAATCCCAATCGTAATTACATGGCCAGTCCTTGGAGCATCGGTTACGAACCCTTGCCACAAAATGCATGACTTTCAGCTTGCTCGATTCCACGTGTGCTCGAGGGCCCCAGAAGAACTCACATTCCACGGGACAGCTGCGGGCCACCGGCTTATAAATCAGGTACCCTCTGCGCACAAACTCTTCTGTGATGACCTTCCTTGGATCTCCAAAGATGCTGTGCTGCCGCCCAGGTTGAATCCCTAACTTCCCTAGCACTTTCCAGACCAGAGATTCTTTTGCGCTGTTGCCCATGATGAAGATGAGGGCCAATACGGACATCAGGAGACTTTTCTTGGTGCCTTGAAAATTGCTCCGGACTAAGGAAGGTTTTTGTACTTGAGCAGTGCTCGAGGCTTCTTCAGGAGTGGTGGAGGTCTCCTCTGGAGTGCTCGGGTCTTCCTCCGGACCACTCAGGTCATTTTCGGGGGTACTTAGAATCACAGAGACAG